CATATATATAATGTATTTTTTATTAATAATATATATATATTAATATTAAATATAAATTATTACTATTATTGAAAAAATATATTAGTAATCTTTAACAATTACTGTATGATTAAAATTTTTCCCATCATTTTGCACTGTTTTTTTTCTGGCTGTTACTTTGGTCACTTCCCATGCTTAAAATTTTTCCGTGCTTTGCTGAAGCATAGGCCACTTATCAAGGATGTCCCTCATGATATTTAGTGTCAATCTATGGTGGGGTCTACACCGGATATTTTAAAAACCGGTCAGTTGATCTGAATGAAACTTACAGGAAAGTTTAATCAAGTTACAAGGAAGAAATTGTTATGTGTTAGTGACGATTTAGTAAAGGGAGTAAATTCAAGGGTCTTTTCAATTTTTGAGGACCCAGATCTAAATATCTCTTTGAAAAAAACCAATGGGTCTAAATGAAACATTCTATAGTACTTTGTAAAGGTCTTGTAAAAAAAAATGATTACATTTTTGTGACGATCCACAGTATGGTGTGGATATGAGGACCATTTAAAGGAAAACGTCCCAGACCACATATTTCGAATACGGATTAACTGATCTGAATGAAACATTCAGAAAAAGTTTAACCAAGTTACAAGGAAGAAATTATTATGTGCTGGCGAGGAATCAGTCAAAGGTCTAAATTGAATGGTCATTTAAATTTTTGAGATCTCAGACGTAAATATCTATAAAAAGTTTTCAATGGGTGTAAATGTAACTTTCTATAATAGTTGTAAAGGTCCAGTAAAGAAATGACTGAATTTTTATGATGATCCGGCGTAGGGTGTGTTGGTTTTCCATGTTTTTTTTTTTACTTTATACCTTTTAACGACTTTTTGCAATTTCAACTTCATTTCTCATTAAAGCAATGAGGAAAAGCCCTATGTTCTGTTGTTCAAACAGACATAGTAATTCTAGTTATTATTGGTATTATTATTATTATTCTTATTATTATTACTATTATTATTATTATTATTAAATTTATCATCATTATTATTATTATGCAACATTATATAATATTGTAATTAGGGTAATTTGTGTGAGCACTATACACTGTAAATTTAAGACATATTGCTTCAAATTCTCAATTACTCTTCAAGTGTTATTTTAAATAATTGTCTCTTAGAAAAGCCATAAATCCTTTGCTATTAAAATGATTTTTTTCCCTGATGACCTTCTTATTTCAAGTAGGGAAATAAAACTTATCGACCGAAAAAGGATCATACTAGTAATTCTCTAACAGCTTTTCTTAAAGTAGTCAAATAATATTTATCAACCCAAAAAGAATCATAAAATTAAATTGTTGTGCTTGGTGAATCATAAAACCGAATAAGGATCATAGTAATCCTCTAACAGCTTTTCTAAATGTAGTCAAATAATATTTATCAACCCAAAAAGAATCATAAAACATTGTTCATTTTTCATGTCTTTACGATTTGAATTTAAATCTTTTCTAACTTTATCATAATTTTTATAAAGATTCTATAGAGTATATACATATCCATTTTACACCAAAAAAAAAAACAACAGTAAATGCCTCACTTGAATAAATCCTCTATCGAATAAACGCCCCCTCAAAAACCCTTCTCAATAATAAACACCCCGGGGTGTTAATTTGAATATTAAATACGGTAATTCTATAATTTTGCAAGGTGCTATACTCTATACCAAAAATATACTACCTTATTTTGTCTGTTATTTGACTTCACTACCAGATATTCTGATCAAAAATTGTCTGTTACTATTTTGTCTGAATTAGGGGAAGTACTATTGGGGCCGGGAAACTTATGCAGACACCTTGTAGGGCAAGCCAGGTCCCACCACCCTGCCCCCTTCCTTGGCCACAAACTTGTCAGACCAGAAAAGCAAGTAAATAAAAAAAACCTTTGCTGTTCTTGTTTAAATTCAATTTGTATAATCCATTCAATAATCACTGACACAGACAGGCATTAAATTGCTAGAATCTTCTAGGTTTTCTGAACTCCATCAGAGTTTGTCAAAACCCCCAGTCAAACAACTTGGTCCTCCACCCACTCCCTGCCTGTTGTAAGAATCCAGACACTTAACAGTGAGTCTGAATAGCCATTCCATACATCACAAGAATAATAAAATACCTTCAACATCTTGATATTCCAGAGCGCTTGGGTCAGACCTTATTGACTGGGTTACCATCTTCAAATCACCCAGACTTGCTCCCACGTGACCCTTCAGCATTTCTTCCTCATTATCACTACCATCATCTGAAAGATGAAAATCAAGCAACAATTTTATATCTGATTCATTGTTTTAAAAACGATTCAGTGGACATTGTTAAACTTCTATTTAAGTCATCTCATCATAAATTATTAGTTAAAATTATGTCTATCAGTCACATCTCATAAATAAAATTAATAATCAATAAATTAATAATTTTTAAAATAATAATAACAATTTGAATATTTATTAAGCGCTCTTACACAGAGGATAATTAAAAAGGTAAGTTTTGAGAGCAGTTTTAAACTGTTTCAAGGTTGGAAAACGAGAAACTTCACTAGGTAATGTAGTTCATTCCGTAGGGATGGTGCAGCAGCATAGAACGCCTTGTGAGAAATGGAATTGGCCAGATTTGTCTTTGGCAGTAGAAACTAATCAGAAAAAGAACGAAGACACGACAAATAGGCTGATAAATAGAAATAAGCTCTTGGAGATAAGACAAATTAATAAAATTAATAATTAAAAATATGGCTTTTGCTGATTTTTTTTTTTTTTTGCCAGTAACTAAAATATTCTTCAATGAATTTAACTATTTTACTATATTTTTATGGCACTGTCATTAAAAAAATTTTTTTTTACCTTTTCTTTAAAATGCACAGGAGAAGTATGGTCACAAATAAATTAGCCAACACTTATTAGGCTTTATTATTGTGTTGCTATGGACAAGTTCCATTATCTATGGTGATTAATTATGCGCCGACCAGACTATATTAAATATTCAGGGTTGAGCAGCGCGTGTCACTTTTATGTTTAAATGATCGAAGTCTATATTTTGCAATGATTCTTTTGTATGCGATGTTGTACGTGATCTCAGATGTACGACCAATAAGAAATACTTATCTGTGGATCTTTTATTAGGCCCAAAACTAATTGAACCTGAACAAATAAATGAAGATTTTATGAGGTGTCATAATGCTTCACATTGATAACACCAAGCAAACAATATTCTATATTAAAGTTACTATCGCGTAGTACAATAAAGTGCTAATATGATGAATACTTACCTAAAATTTAAACAAAAAAATATTTTATCATCACCACCATGTTTAGAATTTAATTGCATTTAGGCAAGGCTTTCTTTCAACCTTATTTTGCGAACCTATTTTTTTACAAATTGTCAGAGGAGGGCTGAACAAAAAAATTTTAATAAAATTTTGTTTCCTTTAGCAAATAGTTTTGCCAAGAACATCCAGACGGAGGAGAAAATAAAAATAAAATTTTATTGGTGAATGTAAACAGTGTAGTAATGGGATTTAAATTTATATAATTAGGAAAAATATACATAAAAGAAAATCTGTTATTCCAAAATTTCCATTGTTTCATGCCAGCGGGTGCGCTAATTGGCCAAAATATAAAATTTTATTTTCATTTGAAATCTTTATTACTGGCCGGCAGCAGGTTCGCTAAACAAGGTTAAAGCGTCCCGCCTAAACTAATTTTATTTCTCCAAATTTGATGCAATGAAGTGCAGTGTGCAAGTGCTTAATAAAAATAAAATTTTCCACTGTGTGTGCATTGTTCCTATGTAGCCTTGGTTCCATGCCAAAGTTTGAATTTCTCATGTGAATAATTAACATTAGACCTGTAGCAAAGACAAGCCAAACCAGTCACTTGCCGCAAATCCTGTTTCAGAGATATTGGCCAAAACATGCTGTAATATCAAATATTTTGAAATTTATTTTATTGCACTAAACTAACCTTTATATATGTATACATCGTTCATCGTTATTTTTCCCATTTTCAATAGTAAAACAACAATTTTTAACGATTTGGTGATGGCATCTGGCTGAGAAATGCCCAAAATCATAAATTTTGAAGGCTGATTTCTCAAATATTTTTCTTTAAACTTCTTAAGGAAATATCGGATTTAAATTATTCTTTTTAATACCATTTTATAGCTCTCATGTTACTGTTAAACACTGTATTAATACCTAAAATTGAATTTTGCGACGAATGACTGGTTTGGCTTGTCTTTGCCACATATAATCGTTCTAATGTACAATAGTGCATGTCAACCTGAATTAAAACTGTGTCCCATTTTCTGAAATATTTGTTCCATACTCTCTTAATTAAATCAATTGTTGGTGATGCTGTCCCTAAGGTTGTCCTGTAGAATAGATTATGAATTAATAAATAAGAACAACAGACTTGTGGTAAGTGTATACATTCGGGTTGAAACATGACTGATTTTACTGAGAAGGTGATAATTTTTTTTGTGTGGGCCGTTCAAAGCAAAATAAAAGTACTGGGCTGGTATTAGGTAACAATCAGTGTTAACCTGAGGTTTACTTAGCAGATTTTGCATAAAGACGTAACATTTATCTGGATATTGCTAATTATATATACAAATCGCTCAGCTGCTAAATTGACCTTTCCAGGGTGTCAATCCAACCTAACAACAGGCAAATCAGAACAGAGCCAAGAATTTAACACAGTCTTGTCTGCACAAACGCACACGTTTAGGTATGTTTTTACATCATTTTGTGGGATGGGTCTTAGAGGAAGGTTCATTGTACTGTACTGTACTTTACTGTATGTATTGTTTAGTCTAATTATCATTATCATCATCCAGGGGCAGATCCTGAAACAAAGAAGGGGGCACAACATATTCAGAATAGATAAGTGAGAGCGTTAACTTTAATATATGCCTTGAAATTTTTAATTTAGTGGCAAAAGGGGGGGGGGGGGGGAGGACGCGTCCCCCTGTGCTCCCATGCTCCGCTACCACAATTATGAGAGTTAAATTAATATTTGAGATTCTATTATTAAGTATTTGCCTTTTAATGATAAAGTAAATTATCATTAAATCAATTTCTCTGGTTAAAGGAGTGCAATGCACATGACATAAATGTCGGAATCATAATACTGTACAGGTAATCCAAATTATATTATCTATATATACACTACAGTCTCTTTTTTCTTCTCAGCGACTTCAATGCATAACCTTTGACATGTCTATTGACTGATTGTCTATTGATTTTCATGTTTAACAACAGAAGATATTTGAAGTGCTACTATTACTTAATATGCATCTTTTTAAATACAATTAAGGAATGGATCCACTTCAGGCAAGCATAAATATAATAATGATAATCACAGTAGCAGTTATAGTAGGACATACTGAAATTAGTAGCAGTTAGCAATAACATATTAGTAATATTTTAGTAATGGTATTCATTGTACACATATTAAATGCAAACTGCTACCATTACCTTAACAAGATATTAATTAATTTGAATACTAATTATATCATTATATCATAATATTCAATTATTGAGAACAAATTATCATTTTAAAAATCAAATTAATTTTGAAATTTAACGATTTAAAAAATGTAGGGAATGTAAAGCAATGAGATGGGGTCAAGACACAATTGCTATTAATGAGAAAAAAATACAGGGCCTACTAGTATGTTAACTGTTGATTTTCCTCATAAGGGGCGTAGCTTGTTTCACCCTGGGGAGGGGGATGGGGTGCAAAAATTGAGAATGCGGAACTGGTGGATGCGAAAATTGAGAAATCCCTATTCCAATGAAAACTTCATGGTAAGTTTGCGGCCATAACAAAACCTGACAATTACCAGTAACATATTGAAACCAGATAAAATTATTTGATCAATTACAAAAAATTCAGGCGTGTAAAAATTGATGTGAACATGTGTTCAAGTGTTCAACTTTAATTATATGCATGGAGAATGCACTGTAAATTAACTGTTTTCACCATAGTGGCCACTTAAAATGTGCACAGAATTCACTTACCTAAAAATGAACTGTTAAGGCCTGCCATACTCAGTGTATTGTGGTCATTCAGATGCATTGGAAATCATGATTGATGAAGGTTGCTAGGAAACATAATGCATCAGATGTAAGAGTCTAAGTGGAATCATTAGACAACAAAAATATCAATTGATAGTTATACTTAAAAGATGTTCATGAGCTGTTCTAAGAACAATGACTCTTCGAAAAAGCAAATTTATTTTTATATCGCCAAACTAACCAACAGATTTATCAACATGATGTTATTTAATCTAATCCACTCTTTTGCGTCTGATCAGTCATATCATCTGTATGAGGTACTACGCTTTGTTATTGTTTGAACTGTCAAGTTAATACACTGTAAAGATGGATGCTCAGCAAGTCTTGTTGCTGAAGTGTCTGTTGTAAGCAGCGGCGGATCCAGAAATGTCCAAAAGTGGGGGTACAAAGGAATACCCCGTGAAACTATTGTTTTCTAGACACCCAAAATTAACCTCTGAGGCGTTTTGGGTGATAAATTTCTTTTTCTTTCTTTTTTTTTTTTTTTTAACCTTCCAAATGGAGGGGAGGGGGGGGGCAGGTCCAGTCCAGCCAATCTAAATGCGCCGCTAGTAAGCGACATCATAATTGCTGTTTGTGTATTTTTTAACATGAAATTTCTTTTACCAAATCACTAACAAATGTTTCAATAAATCACATGACAATCCATATTATAATTTTATAATAAATTACATTTTTATATCATATAAATATATAACAGTTTATTTTCTATTTAGACCTACCTAAATAATATATTTCTATATCGCCATCCGAGGGATTTCTGACCGAGCTGGGAAGAGGGTTTGGGGGGGGGGGGATGAGAATTTTTCTTTTAAATAGGGACCTCTGGATGGTCGGAAATGGCACTCTCAGACTTGAAAATATACTTCAAAATGTAAAATTGATAAAAATACAATTGTTACTACTATCAAACTCAACACAATAAACATGCATTGCATTTCTTTTCATTTCAGGCCTATTTCTTTTTTTTTGGTCCAAATGCCTGATGAGCTGTGGCTGGTGGGAGTGTGGGTTTGACCTGTCCGATGGGGGGAGGGGGGGTGTTAACATGTTTAGAATGCTCAACCAGATGACACTGGTACATAGAATAAAAATCAAAAATTATAGTAGGAGTAGGCCTATGGTACCGTGCTCCCTTCTTTCCACTTCCTATTTTTTCTTTTTTATCTTTTTTCTCTGTGGGGTCCAGTCCAGTGCCCCCCTCCCCACCTGGATCGACAGCTCCCTGTTTTAATTATGTACCTCTCTGCCCGCCAATTTAAAATCATTACCCCCTACCCCACCCGACGAACAATTTTGTTAGGAGTCATGAGCAACTGACTTAGCCACCACGGCCAGTTGCGGATTTAGGCGGGGGCGTAAGTGGAATACGCCCCCCCCCCCTATTTTTTGCAAAAAAAAGCACAAAAATCCACAGCTGTGAGTAGATATTATTATTAAATGACACATTTCATAGTTGCATAGTTAAAATTTCTTTTAAAAGACATACACCTATTTTTTATTTATTTATTTGTTACTGAAAACTACCATGCTAGATAGTCAAAATCGACTCAATACAACATAACAACCTCATATTCCACAAATGTGCTGGGCTTCAACCATTACCCTTCCAATCTTACACCACGACCACAGTTACAGTGCCACCAGTCAATGGAGCAGTCTCACACATCGTCTTAATTAACTAATCCCGCGGCTGTGGCCGTCGCTGAAGACATGACTCTTGCAGGACTACAGACAAAAATACTGTATTAAAATAAAGTCTGATGCATACTTACATAAAATCTTTTTTGTAAATCGCAATGATAATTGTTGTAATCCATAAACATCTGTCTCCGATGATCTCTAGGTGACAAAAGTCCGCTCATCCCTTTCCACACGATGTACTATACTATGCGATTGGTGCATTATTATTACTTGTTTCATCTGTACTGTATAGCGCCCCCAATTTTCGAGGAATGGCCACCTGAGAGTCAAGTTCTCATAAAGCCGGGATCCTCCCCCTCCCCCTCTCAACCTTGGACCTCTTCCAAAAGATTAATCATAATTACCAACCGTATCGCATCGTGCGGGACGGTCCCCTATTTCAAAGTGATTGTGGATGAAACACGCATTTTGCAGAAACACATGCGTGATCCTAAATTTGCCACGCATTTAACACAAGTCTATGCGTGATAAAGATTGATCACAAATTCAGGGGAAAATGTATTGAAAATTAGAAGAAATTGGATGTATTAAAACTATAAAAACGGTGATGAAGTAACTTCAGTCATGAGAGAGTACAGTATTTCCTTGAAGGCCCTACTTATTTCACTAACGTGTTACTTAAAAATTGATCAGTAATGAAATGTTTGTGTAGGTAGGCCTATAGTTCAGGTGCTCAAATTATAGGCCTACATTGATACTCAAATTGGATTTATTAACATTTTTTTTGCTTATGTACCTGTATTATAAACAAACACTCCCTGAAATCGTTTTGAAACAGCTTAAAAAATGCTCAGATCGTCGGAGCGGTGGGGGGTTGGGAGTGGTTCCCCGCATGACCTCCTCCAGCCAACTGGTATAGTCACTCACGCATTTCATCACTCAGGTTGGCAATTATGTATTATTATAATATATATTATATAGTAACAATATTGAAGGTTCATGTTGTTAACAACGATGATGATGATGATGATGATGATGATTACGATGACTTGTCGAATTCTTTTTTGTAAGATGGAGAATGTGTGAAAGGGAGATTCTTTCTGATGTCCATGTTTTCGTGGGGCATAGCAATGAATGTCATGTTATTCAAAACAACGGCGTTGCAGTAGAGGTGCTACCTGTGCCAAATCTATTTCACTGTAAAGTGTGTGTGCAGCAAATTCAAACAGTCCATTGTTGTCAATAGCCCAGATACAAATGTGTTTATTTACTTACGGAAATAATAATAATAATAATAATAATAATAATAATAATAATAATAATAATAATAATAATAAAAATAATAATATTATTAATAAAGATTATTATTTTAATAATATTAATTATTATAATA